ACGGATTGGGCCCGCGGCCCGTATCCCAGACTGCCAAACGTCACTTTCTGAACCGACTAGGAACTAGCTCCAACCCTTGACTTTTCCTGCGTTTCTGCACTGCCAACTGCCACCCTCCTGGAGCCGGCTTTCGTTCTGCACCGCTTCGGTCCAAGCTGGAGTCCAAGGACCGTGTCGCAGGGCTAAAACACCATGGCAGTGAAGGACGGATTTGGCCCGCGGCCCGTATCCCAGACTGCCAAACGTCACTAGCCCAGACTGCCAAACGTTACTTTCTGAACCGACTAAAACTAGCTCCAACCTTGACTTTACCTGCGTTTCTGCACTGCCAACTGCCACCCTGCTCGTGTCCTCCTGGCGCCGGCTTTCGTTCTGCACCGCTTCGGTCCAAGCTGGAGTCCAAGGACCGTGTCGCAGGGCTAAAACACCATGGCAGTGAAGGACGGATTGGGCCCGCGGCCCGTATCCCAGACTGCCAAACGTCACTTTCTGAACCGACTAGAAACTAGCTCCAAACCTTGACTTTTCCTGCGTTTCTGCACTGCCAACTGCCACCCTGCTCGTGTCCTCCTGGAGCCGGCTTTCGTTCTGCACCGCTTCGGTCCAAGCTGGAGTCCAAGGACCGTGTCGCAGGGCTAAAACACCATGGCAGTGAAGGACGGATTGGGCCCGCGGCCCGTATCCCAGACTGCCAAACGTCACTTTCTGAACCGACTAGAAACTAGCTCCAAACCTTGACTTTTCCTGCGTTTCTGCATTGCCAACTGCCACCCTGCTCGTGTCCTCCTGGAGCCGGCTTTCGTTCTGCACCGCTTCGGTCCAAGCTGGAGTCCAAGGACCGTGTCGCAGGGCTAAAACACCATGGCAGTGAAGGACGGATTGGGCCCGCGGCCCGTATCCCAGACTGCCAAACGTCACTTTCTGAACCGACTAGAAACTAGCTCCAAACCTTGACTTTTCCTGCGTTTCTACACTGCCAACTGCCACCCTGCTCGTGTCCTTCTGGAGCCGGCTTTCGTTCTGCACAAACTCTTCGCCCCTTCTGGCATCTTGTTGCTAGTAAGGCCTCCTCTGACGCGCTCCCCCTGCTGACGGCAGGGGTCGGCGGATATATATACATAATTATAATGTATATAATATATATATATACAATGTATATACTTCCCTGACCCAGACAGTTTTAAGGTGAATCTTCTCAATCCTCATATCTAATCCAAACAATGCGTGAAGAAGGAAACCACAAACGGGCCAGATCTGGGTTGATTTTCTTCACTTTGCTCGATTTCCCTGACTTTCTTGTTGCCGAGGCCATCGTTGTCTTGGCACCATCCTTAGCATCCTTAGTCTTCAGCTGCTTCCATGTCTTCCATGTAGTTTTCTGTTTGACAAAGCTCACAAGTTTGGGTCAGGCTGTTACAACGGATACGACTGCTAAGAGATTCAGCTCAGGGTTTAGATAGGAAGTGTATCTGTCAGTGTTTGACTTGGAACATTTGGGAGCTGAGCATCACATGCCCTATGTTTTCGATTTACGATTTTGTTGAAAGTCATCCAGTGCGCATCAGTCTTGATGTGATAGATTGGCAAGATGCACTGTGGCCCTTCTAGAGTTGAGGAAGCCATTTTCCTTGTTTCTCCATGCTCTTCAAGAAAACCTGTTTTCATGTTTGCACCTGCCTTCCGTTCAGTCGAAGCGGACTGGAGACTGGAAACTTTGACAAAATTTGATCAACGCGTTCAGGTCTTGGTGATCTCTACCTACATCATAATGGTGTTCTTCGCCACCGTGACTCAAGCAGATTCCGATACGTGGGCTGCAGCACGGGGCCCTGGTAGACAGCAGAGAGGGCTCTGACAATGGAATATCGTGATGTTTTTCTGCACTGCCATTGGCATTTAGTTTGCAGTCATCGTGTCAACGCATCCAGGAGTTTCATTTGTCATCCAACTTGTCTCAGTCAGATGCCTCGCCTGCAGCTTGTGCTGGTCAGGCTGCTCTGGTTGTGATTCTGGAAGAGTTCTTTTTCGGGCCATTTTTGGTCTCAGCCGGCTTCGCACTCTTGGCAAGAGCCTCAACGGCGATCTGCGACGACACAGCACTGATGCACACAAAGAAGCAGCAGATGGAGCCCTGTGCTGGGGAGCGATGGAAGAATCTAATTACTTGAAAGTTAGTTTTTTTTGATGTTCAAACTGATTCAAACTGATTCAAACCTCACACTGATGAGCACGGGCACGGGCTGGAACACCAAGGCGACCTTCACCATGGAAGGTGACACAACCATTGCTCAGAGTCTCAGGTCACGGGAAAGCCGAGCCAAGTTTTATTGCTGAATTCAGAATCTGCCTAGACCATCCTAGACCTAGCGCTCGAAGGATTCGAGAGCCATTAGCTGCATGCAACTTTGACTTTTCCTTTTTAATGCATTTCAGGCAGCAAGTCAAGTGAGCACTGCTTTGGTCTCGCATTTTGCAAGGGAAATGGACACTTCAGTTGTTTGAACCGCTCATGATTTCCGTCTGAGCATGATTGCCATTTCGATCATGCTGCCATATGCTGCCTTTCGTGCCAGGACTGCTACTGGCACGGTGCAGAAGAGCCCGTGCGCAGCGGACCTTTCACTAGACCCAACGAATTCGAAGTGTGTGAGTTCACAAATGAGCCGTTTTTTTTTTTCTCTCTCTCTCTCTCTCACAGACAATTCTTTGTCCGACCAGGAAAGGCAATCCCAATGACTGGGAAAGAATCCGATCGACCTAATCGACCTAAGATTCCAACAGATTTCAGGCGGCGTTTTGACGCTTGATGCGACGTTGCATTACGTTGCATTACGTTGCATGTGATTTTTCACGTGCTTTCGCGAGGTACAACGCTTGGGCGCCTTCTGCTGAAGACTTTCGAGTACCGGTGCCACACGAGGCTCACCACGAGGCCGTGAGACATCGAGACATCGACACATCGAGACATCGAGACATCGAGACATCGAATAGCGAAGAAACAGGGATGAAAAGAATTGAAAAGAGGGGATGGAAAAAGATGGAAAAAGAGGGGATGTGGAAGATGAAGAGATAAAGAGAATGGAAGAATATGGAAGATATGGAAGGGAATGGAAAAGAATGTCTAGCAGTGTCCAGTTGGTCCAAAGGTGAAGTTGCGTTTAACAGCTTGCACACTCGAACGTTCAATCAAAAGCGCTATGCTTCTTGCATCAGAGTAAGACTATAGTGCAAAAATGCACTGCAACGGCAGATTATTGCAGCAGCTTTTTAAAGTTTTTCTGTAAATCTTGTTTCGTGATGTTTCGCGCGCTTCATGGAGTTAGCTTGAACATGCTTGAACTCCGTCCCAGGGCCAACTGCGAAGTTTGGGCTCAGCGCAGCCTGCGCCAGAGGTGTGCAGAAGGAAGTGGCCGTTGCCATATACACGCTCCACACAGACCATACACGCTATGAACAAGTGGCCATACAATTAGAACAAACCATACCGTTCCAAGCCACTCTGTTCCCTTTCGTTGTGGTCACTGTGCAATTGATTCAATTTTGCAGTATTTTTCCCAAAAGCATCTCCGATGCTTGGGTTCTCGTTTAGTTGCACTTGCCGCGAGGGAGCGATACGGAAGTGATGAGAGGGTGGACGGAGGGGAAGCCGTGGGAAATAGCTTGGGGAGAGCTCCGTGGGGAAGGAGCGATACGGAAGCGACCAGAGGGTGGACGGAAAGCTAACCATGGGAAATAGCTTGGGGAGAGCGGGTGGACGGAGGGGAAGCCGTGGGAAATAGCTTGGGGAGAGCTCCGTTGGGAAGGACCAGGAGCGAGATGGAAGCGATGACAGGGTGGAGGGAAGGGAAACCGTGGGAAATAGCTTGGGGAGAGCTTCCGTGGGGAAGGAGCGAGACGGAAGCGACGACAGGGTGGACGGAGGGGAAACCGTGGGAAATAGCTTGGGGAGAGCTCGGGTTTTCAGGACAATGCCATTGTCCCGAAAAATTGCGCGCCCAAGACTTTTCAAGTGGTTTGCAATCGTTGGGCGATGGGACATGCATAGTTTCGTTGGCAGGGAGCGACACTAAAAATGCACTGCTGTTGGCACGGGTTTTTCAGGAGACAAATTTCATCAATACGATTGTTCCGAAAAACTGTGCGCCCAAGACCTGCCAAAGTTTCCAAACCCTGGGCCATGGGACATGCATAGCTTCGTTGGCAGGGAGCGAGACTAAAAGAACGGAGCTGCGGGTACGGATTTTCAGGACAAATTCCATCAACGCTATTGTCCCGAAAGACTGGTGCCAAAGACTTCTCAAACGGTGCTAAGCGCTGGGCAAAGGGACATGCCGGACATGCATGGGAAAAAGTTCTTTGCCGGAGGGGTTTTCATTTTGCTCGGCGTTCTGTCCGTCGATGCTTGGTTTTCGCTCCCTTTGTGGCGAGGCAAACTAAACGACAACCCAAGCATAGGATATGCATCAGCGTGAACGGACAGGTGGGGAAAACCTTGGGAAGAGCTCTGCTGGGAGGGAGCGGCACTGAAAATGCGGAGCTGTTGTTGGCGCGGGTTTTTACACAGAGCAGCTTTTACACAGAGGAGCTTTACACAGAGGAGCTTTACACGGCGGATCTTTTACACAGAGAAGTTTGTACACAAAGAGGACTTTACACACAGAACCTTTTACACAGAAACTTTTACACAGGAAAGGTTTTACACACAGAAGCTTTTACACAGAGAAGTCTTTATACAGAGTAGTCATAGTCTTGACACAGAGAAGCTTGCACACACAGAGGCTTTTACACAGAGAAGCCTTTTACACAGAGCAGCTTTTTCACAGCGGAGCTTTTTCCTGGAAAAGCTTGTGCACGCAGAGGCTTTGACACAAGGAAGTCTTTACACAGAGGAGATTTTACACCTAGAAGCTTGTACGCACAGAGGAGCTTTTACACACAGACGCTTGTACACAAAGATACTTTTACACAGAGCAGTTTTTACACAGAAACGTTTGCACACCGACGGTTTACACACGGAAGCTTTTAGACACAGAAGCTTTTACTTCGGAAAGCCTTTACATTGTACACAGACAAGCTCTTACACACAGAAGTTTTTACAGAAAAAAGCGTTTACACTACAGAAACTTTTACGCGCAGAAGCTTTTACACACAGACGCGTTTACACAGGAGTGTTTACACACAGAAGCCTCCACGCACAGAAGCTTTTACGCAGAGTAGCTTTTACACAGAGGAGCTTTTGCACACAGAAACTTTTAAACACAGACGCGTTTTTACACAGAAGTTTTTTGAACACAGAAGCGTTTACGGCGCACTGAAACTTTTACACGGAGCAGCTTTTACGCACAGAAGCTATTACACAAAAAAGCCTTTACAGAGAGAAGTTTTTACACACAGAGGCTTTTGCACAAGGAAACTTTTACACAGGAAAGCTTTTACACACAGAAACTTTCACAGACAGAAGCTTTTTACACCGAGAAGTCTTACACAGAGGAGCTTTTACGCACAGACAGGTTTGCACAGATAAGTCTTTACACGGAGGAGTTTTTGCACACAAAGTTTTTACACACAAAAAACGTTTACGCACAGAGGAGCTTTACACACAGAAGCTTTTACACACAGAAGCTTTTACACACAGAAGCTTTTACACACAGAAGCTTCTGCACGGGAAAGCCTTTACACAGAGAAGCTCTTACACACAGAAGCTTTTTCACTCGGAAGTTTTTACACAAAAAAGCCTTTACACAGAAACTTTGACACACAAACGCGTTTACACAGAGGAGTCTTGACACAAGGATGCGTTTACACACAGAAGCCCTTATGCACAGACGCTTTTTTGCACAGAGTAGCTGTTACACAGAGAAGTTCAGAGAAGTCTTTACAAAGAGAAGTCTTGACACAGAGAAGCCTGTACACTGTACACACACAAAGGCTTCTACAGAGAGAAGCCTTTTATACAGAGAAGTCTTGACACAGAGAGTTTTTACACAGAGAAGTCCTTACACACAAAGGAATTTACACACAGAAGCTTTTACACACAGACACGTTTACACACAGACAGAGGGTTTTACAAATAGAGGCTCTTTCGGCGCACAGAAACTTTTCCACAGAGCAGCTTGTACACACAGAAGCTTTTACACAAAAAAGCCTTTACACAGAGAAGTTTTTACTCACAGGAGCTTTTGCACAAGGCAACTTTCGCACACAGAAGCTTGTTACACCGTCAAGTCTTACACAGAGGAGCTTTTGCGCACAGACGCGTTTACACAGAGAAGCCTTTACACAGAGGAGCTTTTGCACACAGAAGCCTTTTACGCACAGAACCTTTTGCACAAAGTAGCTTTTACCCAGAGAAGTCTTACACAGAGAAGCTTTTACGCAAAGACGCGTTTACACAGAGAAGTCTTTACACAGAGGAGCCTTTACGAACAGACGCGTTTACACAGAGAAGTCTTTACACAGAGGAGCTTTTGCACACAGAACCTTGTACACACAGACGCGTTCACACACAGAAGGTTTTACACACAGACAACTTTACGGCGCACAGAACTTTTACAGACATAGAGCAGCTTTTACGCAGCGAAGCTTGTACACACCGGGGAGCTTTTATACACAGAAGCTTTTACAGAAGGATTTTTTATACGTACACACAGAAACTTTTACACACAGAAGCTTTTACACACAGAAACTTTTACACACAGAAGCTTTTACACACAGGAGCTTTTACACAAAAAAAACCGTTTACACAAAGGAGCTTTTACACACAGACGGTTTTACACAGAGGAGTCTTTACACGCGGAGGCGTCTACACAGGAAGGCTTTTACACACAGAAGCTTTTACACAGAGTAGTTTTTACACAGAGAAATCTTTACACAAAGAAGTCTTGACACAGAGAAGCTTGCACACACAGAGGCTTTTACACAGAGAAGCCTTTTACACAGAGCAGCTTTTTCACAGAGGAGCTTTTACACAGAAAGAACTTTTACGCAGAGAAGCTTGTACACTCAGAGGCTTTGACACAGAGAAGTCTTTTACACAGAGAAGCTTTGACACACAGAAGCTTTTACACAAACAAAACCTTAACACAGAGGAGCTTTTACAGACAGAAGCTGGTAACGCAAAGAAACTTTCACAAACATATATACATTTTTACAAACAGAAACTTTTACACACAGAGGACGTTTTACACAGAAGCTTTTACACACAGAAGCTTTTACACAAAAAACCTTTACACAAGCTTTTACGCAAAGAAACTTTTACACGCAGAAACTTTTACACACAGAAACTTTTACACACAGAAGTTTTCTCACAAAACAAAATTACACAGAGGAACTTTTACACAAAGAAACTTGTACGCACAGACGCGTTTACACACAGTAGCTTTTACGCTTAGAAGCTTTTGTGTAGAGATGTTTTTACCCATCTTTCATCATGTCTCATTTTTCATGATCATTCTGTCACCTTCATATCTTCGTTTTCATGCTCTTTTGGTCAACTCCCTCCGTCGTTTAGTTTTCATTTCGCACGGCATTCTGTCCGTCCACGCTTCGTCCTCGCTCCCTCTGCGGCGAAGCAAACTAAACGAGAACCCAGGAATAAATAGCGACTAGAAAGATGGGATAGAGTTAATTACACTAGCAGAAATAGCGACTAGAAGAATGTAGACGTAGCTGACACAGCATGCTGTGGTGAATTGTGGCCCCTGATACTATCAGTGCGTACGATGTTTCAGTAAAGATCTTACGCCGATTTCGTGCAGAGCACAGGTGCCCACACCACAAGTTTTTTTAAAGAAAGTGTGCTGTGTGCCATCTTGCTTTTGGGTTCTCTGGCCCGCCTTGTTCTGCATGGTATTCCATCCGGTCACATGGCACGACATGGCAAAACTCATTACATGCATGCTGCATGAGTGTGCATCCATTTGTCCGTTGATCATCTTAGACTCCATCCATGTCTAGCAACCTACACATGGAACTTGTTCTGTCAGTCATTCTTTCGCATGTGTTCGTTCCAAGTGGTATATCGGCGGTCGCCCCCTGGTTTATGTGATATCTCTTTTGTGACGAAGAAGTTGCGCCAGGTTTGTTCAATTTTCTCGGTTCACTAAGCCACTGATTACTGCCACAACCCAGATGATTGCTTGCAGCAACCAGCAACTGTTGTTCAGGCGCCAGATGTGGTGCTGTCCCTCGCAGACCGGCATCAGGAGTGAAGTTCTTGCAGGGCCAAGAATATTTTGCCAAGGGGAGCTGGGGCCAGCAAACTGCAGGGCACTCCACTATGGGCATGGCATGGCATGGCTCTTCCCGGTCTTCCCCATACAATTTCTTGCAGTACAAACCTATCAGCTTCCCAAGGCCTGGTATGTAAAACTTTATGCCTCTCGAGGGAAGCACTGTGTGATTCATCAGATGAATTCATCCCTCTCGACGATACCAGGTATGTGCTGATGTTGCGCTCCCTTTCACAGTTAGGATTAGGTTTCAAACCACTGCCTGAAATCGAGTTTCCTGCAGGAGGAAATGCCCAACACACAGGTGCAGTTTATGAGTCGACTGCGGGACTATGCTTGTCGGCAATTTTTATGACAATGCCAAAGCTTACTTGTACAATGATGATAAAGAAATAATTGTTGGCATGTCATGAAACATGTCATGATGTTTTGAAATCATTTTTTTTCGTGCCACCAACATGGGCCCTCTCCTGGCGCGGATTGTACGCCAACTCCGACACTCTACGACTCTACTTGACTCCACGACGTTGCAAGGCTGCCTTCAATCGACAAGAGATAGAGGAGCAGAAGAGGCTACAAGAAGAGCAGCTTGACAAAACAAATCGAATTTCCTTGTACCATGCCATCCATGCCATGGATATTTGTGGGATCAGGTTGAATTGGTTGAATAAGGCTACGGTATTTGTGCTCCTCAATCTATTCCTCCATTTACTCCTGTGTTCTCCCGCTACTGGTAATTTCTTCATGTGGGAAAGCATACTTCCAGGACCTTCCAGGAAACACCGCTTCTCCTGGAACTACAACAGTCCATCCTTCTGCCGCTCTCCTTTGGGAGACACTTCGAACACTTCAACGTTTACTCAGATATATTACGTAAATTTACAATATTTGTATAACATTTATCAATTTGATTCAATCTGAGTGGATCACTGCCATATTCTCGTACCTTAAAATTTGGGCAGCTCTTTCTGGTACACCTGGTAAAGCTACTCTCTTGAGTTCGTTCACTTTTTATCACTTCCATACAGACCCTGATAGGTTTCAAACAGCAGGACCTCAGGATTCATTTAGCATTATGGAAACTAAGATTCTAAGATATTATAGCAGAAAACTGACATTCAAGCTGTGGCAAGGCAACCCTAAAGTAATCCCTTTCCCAGCTTGTCACAACCTTTTGCGATGGTTGCGACTCTGCTCAGGTTGCGGGAGCAGCTGGAATTGCAAAAGAAACAGCTGGAAACTCGTCTTTGCTTCAGACAAGTTTTCTTTTTTGAGGGTTTGTCCGGGAAGCGGGAAGCCATCAAAGCCTGATCTTTGAACAGGGGTCTCGCAGAACAAAGGCGTAAACTGTATGTGTGTATTGAATGTTTGAAAAGGTGCTCTCACTGGAACCAAGAATCGGCTTGCGGGACATGCAGCAGTACATCAAGCATAATATATCATAACGAATTCAAAAGGACTCCAGCCGTGCTTCTCTATATACAGTTCTGATTTTCAAAGGACGAAATAAGAAGTTCCATGAAGTTCTCACTGTAGTTTGTTTTTGTCTCTTTTTGAGCGCATCATGTGACGAATGTGACAAAGTGGGAGGAACAGCAACGGATCATGCAAGCCGAGCTGCGAGAGCAACTGCAGAGACAGCAGCAGCAGCAGGTTGGGCCTTTCGGGGCTTTGCTTCTCCATGACCTCAAAATCCTTAAAATGTGTCGGGATGTGCCCAGTGGTGACCAGTGGTGACCAGTGGCTGTGATGGATCTGTTGGCTGCTGACTGCTGCTGTTGGGATGCTGTTGGAATGCCATTGTGAGATCTCACGCCAGGAGATGGTGCGAAATCGTTCACCGCCCCCAGAGCGACCACCAGCCAGGTGAGGATGAAGAAGAACACAACGTCGCGACAGTCAAAGAACAAAAACGAATCTGTAGATCTGGGCGCTTCAACAGGAGTCATCTGAAAGCTGTGGAATCTGGGCACAGGTATACTTCTTTTTTGGCAACCATTTGAGAGACTAGGTGCTTCAGAATCGCTCCTGATTCATTGCTTGCAGGTACGAGCAGCAGCAGTGGCAGCAGGACAATCAAACCCAAAGATTGTCCCAAGCTGAGGCGGCTTTGGTTTTCCATGGTTTTCCTTATTTTTTTTCATCTTCACAGCTAGTCACAGCTTGTCCTCCATGCTCCCTGTTCCGGAGTGATCCCATCCTGTTGCTCCGAGCTATCCTGAATCGCATGGTGGCATCTCAACGGCAGATATGGAGTATGCTGCCGTCATGAAAAACAATCGGTTGATGGCCATTGATGGCACATGTTTGACCAAGGGCCGTGCATCCAGAAACCCAGACCTCCATACCCTACTAGGTTCCACTATTGCCAATGGGGCGGCACTGAGGCCTGGTGCCGTCCCCCTGCAAGTACCAAGACCTATGGTCACGCGGCCACCGCAGCAGGTGCTTCAGGGTATTTCGGGGTTTTGACCAGCTTGTAGTCACTGGTAGCCCTTGAATTTTTTGGAAAGTTGGATACTGTTGGACTTTCAATCTTCTGAAATTCAGCTCCAACACGTGAAGGTTACATCGGTCAACCTGGGGCTGCAGAGATCTGTCCGTCACGGTGCAGTGGTTCGCCGGGGCCACAGCCAGATCTCCCTTGCCAGAGCTCAACTGGAAGAGCCTGAGCAAAGCGTGCCATTTGCCAGGTAGATTGGAAGATATGCACGATCAAAGGACCGGACTGAAAAGAACCTCAACACCAAAGGACCAAAGGTCCAATATGGTCATATATGGTCTAATCATCTAATCAAATCATGGGACATCGAAACATCGGGCATCCGTTGGACATCCTTCGATTCATTTTGATTCAGTGCTGAAAACTTTGGAGACGGATCCAGCCGCCCAGGCAGCGGCCGTCCAGGCCCCCCATCTTGGCCACCACCTGCACTGCGAGGCTTCGATGCAGGAGGCGGGGAGAAAAAGACTGTGCTACTGTGGGACACGAAAATGTCGTTCCAAAATTCCAACTGCTGAAGTTTTTTGATTTTTGTTGGCTTTTCCTGGTTTCCATGGTTTCTGGGCTCTGTTTGCCTTACCTGCTGATTTTCCAAACACATGTGAAAGGGCGACCCCTCCAACGTCCGGGCCAGCCTGTGTCCGGAGCATAGGAATTTTGGGAGGTGAATTTTGGGCGATGGGCCAATGGTCGACAAGCGACACCAAGCGACACCAAGCGACACCATCCGCGACACCATTCTGCTGCACCGAGGCCCAGTGAAATGGCGATGATGCGGCGCCACTCGCGGGGACGCTGAGGCGCTGAGGCGCTGAGTCTGTCCGAAAACCGGTTCCTGGAGGCTCAAAACTGAAAGAAGTGAAAGAAGTGAAAGAAGTGAAAGTTTGTCAGATGCTACCTGGACTGCAAATTTGCCTAGATTCTCCTGAAGTCCAAAAAGGGCAGCAAAGAATGGAAAAGACAAGATGAAACCAAAAGATTTCAGTGAAGCTTCCAGGATACGCAATCAATTGAAGCAAAAGTATCAATCAGATTCAATCAGTCTCTCTATAAAACGTGCGTGAAATGGCACCATCGGCACAGCCGCTGTATCAAAAAGAAGGCCACTGCCGAAGGCAGTACTTATTCCCAAGGATCCAAGCGAACGGAATCAACATGAATCGATTTGAATCGATTTGAATCGATCAGGATAGATTCGGATAGATGATGTAGATCTAAGGAATCTAAGGAATCTAAGCGGTTCTACGGGCATTGGCCCTGGCTTCACCCCATGTTTTCTGGTGCAGACTGTCTCCACGTTTGCAGATTGATCCTCCGAATATCGCGAAGTACACTTTTCATTCTCGGGTTTGCAGAACCTGGCCCAGTGGCCCAGTGGCCCAGTGGTCCAGTGAGTATTGAGCATTTTGGTGTATTTTGGTCATATGCCAGATGGACACCTTGGGTGTTGCGACACCTTTCACTGAGCCAGATGAATTTTACCGATCTGTACAATTTGGTAAGCCGCTTTAAGCCTGTGGGATGGGGACATGTTTGATAATTTTGCGAAATGAAATGGGTCCAGATAGTCCAGCGTTCCAGTCACGATTAGCTTTGTTAATGGCTCTTGGGATTCAACCAGCCTTTTGCGCTATGTCAGCTGTTGAGTATGGATCCTTGGGAGATTCCTTTAGCACCACAGGGGTGCGGCAGCTGGAGATTCCGAATTTTGCCTCTGATGGCTTGAGTTTGAAGCTCTTGAAGCTTGGTGAAGTTGATGATAGGCAAAGCGGAAGGATCCTATGTACTGCATACAGCTCTGCAGAAAAGTTAGTGCATAGCTGCAGCATCCAGCAATGCCATCCGAGCCCCAACAATGATACCAAGTTTGTCTTATGATTCTCTCAACTCTTCTGAAAAGGATTCCACGTTGTGGAAGTGTCATGCGAGATTTGCATAGATTTGCGAGATTTCATGGTTTTAAAGTTCAGCTTCTCTTTTCTCATCAGCAACATACACTAAAAGGACGCTACAGACTTTGTAAGGCCTGTGGTTGGGTATTGAAGACCCCCAAAAAATAGAATGGAAGATGGAAACAGTAAGTTATAGGTCAAGCTAAAATGGTCCTCATGCTACAGAATGCGTTTTTGAACAGCGGATCATGACAGCATGTTACTTTTTTAATTTTTTTTCTTAATGTTTGTTTGTCTGCAGGGATCATGTTCGGTTGTCACATGTAAGTTGTGGCAGTTTCAGAATCTCCAACTGACTTTGAAAAAACGTTGGACTGTTGTGGATGTGCGAGGAGGGCCACTCTTCAGCACTCCATGCACGCAGCCAACTGGGCAGCCTGACCCAAGCACGCAGCTGCAGACCCGCAAATGTGGGGAGTGCGCTGCCCAAATTTCCGCTGCCCAAATTTCCGGTTTCCGGACCGGATTTCGCGAACTTCCACAGGTGAAGTCTCGTTTTTCTGCATCAGACACACTGTATCAGGATGTACCAGATATATCCAGATATTGTTTGAAGGTACTCAGTCTTTTGAGTAAAGTCTGAAATGAGGTTTGATGCAATGGTTTCCCCAGGAGGGACCCTCAGGCGAACCTGCCTCCAGTCCAGAACTCTGTGAGAAGCCGAAACCCCGACATACAAAAAGCGCGTCGCAGCGTCTTTGCACAGCCTCGAGGCTGGCTGCCCCTCCGTGTGAGGATCGAATTCGGGCTGTGATCGGATGGCTCGAAGCAAAAGTGGGGGCATTTGTCGCATTTGTCCTGTATGAGTCCTGCACAGCCGCTGTAGATCGCTGCCATCATGCAGCCTATCTCGTTGAGTGCAGTTGGAGTTGGAGAGTGGAAGGGTAGGACTCCGATTCCGCAGAGAGCCAGGCAGATGCAGATGACCAAAACGGATGTGCCAAGATTGAAGCAGGTGCATTCGAAATCAGTCGAACAGATTTGGACAGCTTCCAAGCTGTAGCAAGCTCTAGCTTTCTTATCTTTGCCAGAGCTGGGTCTCTTCGGGTTCGAAATGCTTTTGACATTTGACCACTGCCACAACAGCCAGAAACCTCTCTAGACCTGCATTTTCACTACAAGAGTCAATCGCACTAGTACTGTATCATGCTCTAGAGTCTCGTGCAAGACCAGCTTGTTTCGATAAATGCGGCTTGGTCCAGTGAGAGGAGCTTTCGAGACATACACACAATGAATCTCTGACGATCAAGTATGTCGCTATACGCATATTCATGATACTGTTGTAGCAACATTTCAAATTTCGAACTGTTTATACATATCATATATCACATGTGTACATAGAATTACATGTATAATATGTTAGTTAGGATAGGCCTTGCCCATCTTCCAACTCATCAAACCCAAACCATTTTAAAGCCACCTGCCATCTATATGTGAAAATATGTGCGTATTCTTTAGAGGTGCAACTGTGGCCTGGGTGGTCCATTTCTTTTGGCACCATGTTTGGGTTCCCGCACTTGAGGCACGCATCTACTTTGGCTCAAAGAGTATGTTGGTTTCCTTGTCACTGCGCTTTGACATGAACCATGCGCCTATGAAGAAAAAACCTGTCAAGAAGAAACCTGCCAAGAAGATTGTGAAGAAACCTGCCACTTCCCTGGCAGTCCCACATACACAGGGGCGAAGCGAATTTGCTCCAAGTGCCTACAGTGCTTCAAGGGAGAAACCCTTGGGTGGTGTGGTCGCAACGGATTGCCGTGGAGCACATGCTGGAATTCCAGGCTCTGTGAATTTGCAACCATTGTGGCTTGATGCCATGAAGGAGACTTATGGGGAGCACGTTTCCAGATGGTCAGATTATGTGAGCGACAAGTCGAACTGTTGGCACTTGATTAAGACACTGCACGACAAGTATGATGCAAATAACGAAGAGGAGGACGAGAAGACCAACATTATTGCTTTCTTGCCCACCATGAAGTTGCCCGTTGAAGTGCAACCACCGGACAAAATGCTCTGTGAGCACCCCTTCGACGCCTACATTTTGGCTCGTGGGGCAGATGCTCGTAAGACAGTGCAGTTCTTCGTGGCCGGTGTTTGCGCTGAGTGCGGCGGGAACACGGATGGGGAGAGTAGGTTCAAGATTGGAGAGGCCGGGCTTATCACCATCTTCACGGAGTATCAGGATGACTTGAGGGAGGCGGTGGAGGACTTGCAGAAACGCGAGTTCAACTACACCGAGGCTACAAAACTGACTTTGAAAGGACATGGTAACACAGAGAAGGCTGCCAAATACGATGTCATCACCAAAAGCACTATCAGTGATGAAGTGCAGAAGGTGGCAAACTTGGCTGATGTGAAGGTTTCTTTTAGACATGCGCCCGATTGGCTTGATGATGCCAACACACCCAAGTACATGAAAGTGAGCGTGGCAGGAGTAGTGCATTTCTTCAATCTTAGAGTGCGGGCATGTCGGCTTCTCAAACACAAGCATTTAGGCTCTCTACCAAATCGTAGAGAACAGGACCACATGAGCGACTCACAAGAGTTGAGCGATACAGAGGTGGAACATTTGGCGGCAGAGCCCTTAGCGTGGAAAGTGTCTCGTGTATGAAACTTGGCACTGTTTCACCCGTTTCACCAAGCACAGTTCGCAAGAAAAATTGCTTCAGTCTTGGCCGGCAATCTGTTGGAATTTCTCCGCGCTCTTTGTTGCAGAGGGCCGTGATTCATGGCCCTGCCCATCTTCCCATTCTTATGTATCTATTCCCCGAAATCATAGTTTATGCCACCTTATCCATCTCTATTGGCTTTTGTGGGTCTTGTTGAAAAGATGATTTTGGCCATTTTTTGATTGGATTTTGGAAAGTGTGTATCCCCCCCTATGGTTTTGTTGATGATGAGATGGTAGGTGGCTTTAAAATGGTTTGGGTTTGATGAGTTGGAAGATGGGCAAGGCCTATCCTAACTCATATATCACATGTGTACATAGAATTACATGTATAATATTGTATAATATATATATATATGTTTATATATATATTTATATATCTATATATGTATATATATATATGTATATATATATATATGTTTATATATATATGTATATATATATATATGTATATATATAATATTATATTATAAGTATACACGTCCCTTAAGCCCATGTCGATATTTGGACCATTTTGGACCCATCCCAAGAGTCATCTCCACTCTGGAGGTGAGCCACCTGCCAAGTTGCCAAAGGCGGATTTGTACCGCGCACCAGATGCACAAGAGGCGCAGCTGCTGGATGACTTGTTTCGAAGCTCCTGGAACATCATTTTATTTAAAAACAAAATGCTATGCACATATCTATATACATATTATGTTATTATATGATTATACATGTACGTATAATTGTACATTGTATGAAAACAGATGATAACTTGATAACAGATTGATCACATGTGCAGTTCTTGAAGGTGCTGGAGATTGCGCACACCCGAAATCTCTACAAGTCCAACCTTTTCCGACTGCAGTTGGAGGACAATGATTCCGGTCGAAGGTTTTTGGCAAGCATTGCTTGAACTGGCTTGAACTGGGTCAGGGATGGCGCTAACAGAGTGGCACATCTCCACGTCTGAGATAAAAGTTGTTTTTGCTCAATCAACTATTGGTCAATTTGTCACATAGCAAAACTCCTTTAGATATGGATGATATGGACTAGAATCGACTAGAATGTTGGAACCTGTGAGCTGCTTGGCTCGGGACGGATCTCGTGCCCTAGGAGCTGGTGAAGGAACTGGTTCCAAAGAAAGTGCCAGCTGTCGAGGCCTGGTTTCTCAGTCTCTTAAAGCACAAGATTTGCAGCTCCTCCGAGTTCATTTTCTTTTGACAACTTTGGCTCTCTTTCGCTGGGAATCAACAGCCGTGTTGGACAAGTGCGTCTTCCTTGGGCCGACTTTGATTCCAAATAGAAAGCCATGATACGTTCGCAGAAATTTCAGGGCGTATATCAGTCCATCACTTGGCAAAATTCTGCTGCCGTGCAGGCGGCACTCCACAGCCTGAAGCCGTTGCTACTGGGAAAGGTGAAAGCACGCGAGATCCCAGTGCCGCGGCAAGGGCAATGACTGGGGACAGCATGGATACTATATGATACCATGCCCTGGAAGACTTTGAGTCCGTACACTCTCAATACCCACAAAGTATGTGGGAACTTGGGGTACTTGGTGGAAAGAAACTGTGGAAGTGCTGTGAGGTATTCTGGCGCAAGAATGCGCAAGATAAACTGATGCCTTGTGGCACAAGGTGAAACAGCATAGGTGGCAGTTGGATCCATTTGGGCAAAAGGAACGAAACGGTCACAAGGTGCAAAACATTTTATGGTGCAGCCGATCCAAAGATAGAAAGATACTAGTCACACCATCCCACCTGTTGATCCTGTTGTTCCATTTTGAGAGTGCAGGCATCACTCCTGTGGAAACAACAAAGCACATTCAATTTCATTGCTCTGAGCCACGTGTTGACTACCCAAGTCTTGAGGCTGTGCAAGAGTATTTCCAACCTAACTTGGATTTGAAATGATTTGAAACTGTTCCAAGCTGTTGATGTTTGTTGTTCCAAGCTCAGGCAGACATGGCTGCTGAGTTTCCGCAACTGTTCTTCCAACAGCGCAGTGTGACTGAGCAACCGATGAAATTTCTGCCTCCAAAAAGGCTGGATATCGTTGGTAGCTTTTTGCTTCTCGGCTTGGTAGGCTCGGATTTGTTTGGCTGACGTGGCTCTGCCTTGGGTTGGACAATGTCTAACATATGGACACCTTTTTGGGACAAGCAAGACAGAGACCCTTGGATTGGACTCCTGATGGTGAACCTACAGGTGTACAGTATACGTGATTTTTGGATGAGATCACTTGAGATGGAGAACCTATCAGAGTGTCCTTCTATGTCCTTCTATGTCCTTCTATGTCCTTCTCACATTTTCTCGTCGAAAAAAGGCTGGGAACCTACAGCAAAACAGATTTCTCGGTGGATGTGGCAGTGGAGATGCCTTCAGAGATCTTCAGATCAAAGGTGCCGGTTGCCGTTGCCAGCGGGAAAGTATGGGCGTTTGCGTTTCGTAACTGGTGCTACTGGTATCACAGGGTTGGAGAGGTCACGATTTTCGGAGATTCGGAATGATTGATTTGGGCAGTGGATTCTTTTCAATCAGAACCCGGTGCATCAATACCCTGGGCGAACGCTTCACTGACAGCTGTGTATGGGCACTTGACGAGCTAAATTCTAGCTGCCCAGGAGTTTTACAGGGAATCTCTCGAAACCTTTGCATGTTTGACAAAACCAACTCGAGCGTCAAGTGCTTTCTTTTTTTACACGTCCTCTGATCACCGTGGTGCGCAGTTGCTTTTCGGGTTGGATTTCTGGTTGGACTTCCAGGACTATCTGAACTTCCGGTACCACGACAAGCGCACAGCATACGTTGGAGAGCTCCATCGACAGCTGTCGCACATACTGGAAGGTTCACCAAGCAGCGCATGGAGTCGTGTGGAGCTATGTTTGGGGGCGAAGAATTGTGGACCTTTCAAAATTCCTAACGGATTGAGCCTGTATACCTACGACATCCTACGACATCAAAATCTTTCGATTGAAGTCAGGATTGGGAAAACGTGAGACCTCCAAGTTGAGGGAAATGTGAAGCAGGTCTAGATGGTCTGGTCAGTGTCTGGTCTGTCCCTGAATTGATTGGGTGTTGCCAGGTAGCGACGCCTTATCCCATCTTCGCGTGGATTTTGAGGCGCAACTTTCTTTCTCGTCGGAGGAAGGACTCCGTTTCAGCTGACATCCCCATTGGTGAAATCATCATTGACTTGCCTCCAGAATTGTTCATGCTGCTTGCATGCCCACTGCTTTTTTTGGTTGAAACATGTTGAAACTACCAATCTACTCTTTTTCTTTTCATCTCTTTTCATCTCTTTTCATCTCTTTTCCAAGCTGTGGGGGTGAAAGGTTGATCTCTCAAGGGACCACACACGTGGCGCAGGCCTTTCAGGGAGATCCTTACAGGCCATGTTTGGTGCTGAGACCTGAGGTAGCCAGGCGAGAGCGGGGGCGACAGGGAGAAACTGAGGATGTTCGACGACCATGTTCTGTGGTGACTAAGGCAGATGGCGGCTAAAGCGGCTAAAGCGACTAAGCAACTTTGGTTCTTTCACAATTGGGAATCAGTCGCAGCATGGTAGGGCATGGAAAACATACTTCAACCATTCTTGAATTGAATTGAATTACTGACGTGGGCATCATTAGGCCATGGACCCTTACAGCGAAAGCGACGATGCAAGCATTGGCCCGCAAAAGGACGTTTCAGTTCTGCAACAGAGTCTTGTCCTCTTTGCAGGTGGGCGATCCGTTTGTTGCCCACCTATCCGGCAGATGTATGGCCGAGCCGCATGCTTGCGGCAGATACTAGGCCGCACAGAAGTGGAGCTCTGTATCGTTTCCTTGGCCGAATGCATGCATCCTTTCGAAAAGAAATATTAAGACTAAGACATACGTATATTGGTTAGACAATGTCAATAATTGACAGTAGGTAAGCCCTAAATAGATCTAAATAGTGGTTGAAACATGTTGAAACCCTAACAGTAACAGAGGATCTACCAGTACACTCAAAGTATTGGACGAAGCTGTTGCGCGCGCTTCAGGACCGGAATGCAGTAAGACCAGCTGAGGGAGGAGGTGACCATTTGCCGACGCCAATATACAACAACACCGTGCCTCTGTCTTTGGGGAGATGACCAAGATGATCTGAGATGACGTTTGTGTCTACTGATTACATACTGAAATCCTGTATTAGTTTGTCATCTTTTGTCCACTGAGTCAGACTTAGTTTGCGTTCTTATGTTCAAAGAATCGCACATCAAACTTATCAAACTTGGATCATCTTGGATAATCTTGGATCAAAATGTTGGTTTTACGCAGTTTGTGAGCCATAGTTGAGGGTGAACTGACGGGGCCCAGAGGTGCTGGAAGATGCACGGATGAGTGCCTTGAACCATATTAGCCCCACCGAATGAGAGAGGCCATCCTCTGGGTATACAATTAAAGGACAAAAAAAAATGCCCAAGGCCATTACAGGATGCTGAAGGATACTGAAGGATGCTGAAGGATGTTGAAGAATGCTGAAGGTCCATTCGGGTTTCATGTTCTCAGGCCCATCGCAGATCATTGACAGATCATTGACAGATCATTGACAGATCATTGACAGATCATTGATATTCAAGCCATCTCTGTGGATCAGAATCACAGTGGAGACACAGTCATCGGTTGGCACTTTGCATACCTTCGCCGTTTGAAGATTGTTATCAAATGATAATCACAGTGACAAATCTTGTCAACATTTGTCAACCTGAACGACCAGTCATGTAATTATTTTGGAGTTGATACATGTTGAACCTTGCGTCGCGGCGTGATGTTTTTCAGCTGCTTTCTGTATCTGAGGAGAGCATCTAGAGATGTTGCATGCCGCTGTTGAGCGCTTCTCCTTTTTGAGGGATGCGATTCGCCTGCTGAGCCTCTGATCAACTCTTGTTGGTTGGGTTTTTGGTGGGATGGCAAGTCGGAAAAACGCCCTGATAGCAGGCACCTTTTCCCAAGGTTTGCACAGGCATTCAGTACATTACACTTTCGCTACTGGGCAGCCAGCGACAGTCACATTGCTCTTTTGCGTTTGCAAGGAAGAGGTGGGCGTCATCCTGTGGATTCATTTCTGTTTCAGCAGATCGCGTGATCTCCACACCGCTGAATGGCAGCTGGGCTCGCAACTGAAGCGAGTACGGCAAAATGAAATAACTCTCTCTCTCTCTCTATCTCTCTCGCTCTCCCAGACTCTCTGCCCCGTGGATGCTCTGTATGCAACACCTTAGCATGACCGTAGCTCCGTATAGCTTTGCATAGCTTTGCATTTCTCCAGTATCCAGGTACAGTTTAGGTTTGTCTCCAGGTTGTTGTGGTTGTGGCCTGCTATTGTAAGTAAGGCTTCATGCTTTCGATGCTCGCTGCACATGCAGCTATTACTGGTGGTGTGGCGCCTGCGCAGACGACATCGTTTCAACTTTTTAAGCTCCTTGATTGCATTGCATTGGATGCAGATTCCTATGATGTCAGCTCCAACCAGATCTTCCTGCTTTAGCCACAGATCTGATTTGCAGCCACTGTTGAACTTACAATTCTCGACGTGATCAACTTGTCACCGCTGAATTCTCGAAAAGACCTTTGCAAAGTGGCAGCAAGCACGCTGCCCCGCAACAATTCTACTCGATTCTAATTCTAATTCATGCAATGCATTGCTTTTGTCCATGACACCCTTGGATCGACTTGGAGCAGTCGGAATTCAGGTTAGCATTAAGCGTGCTCTCAACTACGCAGTGGGAGAGCCAGAAGGTAGCTTGGCGCTGTCATCTCGGCCTGTCGATTTAGGAGTATTCAGTCCATTTTTGCAATGGCCATTTTTAGGCCAGTCTGCTGCTGCTTTACCTGTATGCTTGTTGTATCTTGTAGTATGCTTTACCTGGCTCTTGTTGACCTGGGAGTAATTAGTGATTACAGACAGCTTCTGCTTGATGTATGCTACTGGGGCAACGGAGAGTGCTGTGGAATGCCGTGGAGAAGTCGAAGCCCCTCTACATCGTCTCTACATAACACACCAAGGGAAGACGGGAAGACCTTTGCATCGCTGAAAAAGACCATGTAAATTTCATGTAAATCATTGTAAATCTACTTGAATCCACTTGACATGTGGAGGTCACCTTCGGAGTTTCTGGCTCCGCAGCACTTTCCAGCTCTGAGCGGGTTGGAAGTGCGCATTTCTATGACAGCGATGCTTGGCTGATCCTCCACTAGTCACTAGTCACTAGTCACTAGTCGGTTCCGCAAAGGGTCCATCTTGGATTCTACTGAAGATTACTGAAGTGACTTTGTAGCTTCAGCAGATTTCAGTGTCGATACACGACCAACACGACCAAGACGACCGAGACGACCAAGACGACCGAGGCAGGCGTAGTGAACTTCTTCGGACGTCTAGGGCCAGCCATCGAGGAGCTTCGATGGGAGGCGCAGCGAGCGCTTTCTGCCCTGGATCAGAAGGCCAGGATGGCACGACACGGCACGACACAGCATGACATGACACGATGGAGTGCATCAATGTGAATCTAGAGAATTGTAGAGAGAGTTCAAGAGGCCACGGTTTCTTTCAGCAAAATGCAGTCAGAAGGTCTGATTGAGGACAGACTGGACAGAACATGATCACAAGAGATCCCCGATGATCGTCCCACTGGCCAAACAGGCTGAACCCTTCGAGGCAGTCTTTGGCAGAGATGTTTCCCCTGAAGTGGCATGGGAGCTTTGGCATTGAATCATGAAATCACTTTAATCTTTGTCACTCTTGAAGCTCATATAATTGCAATGTAATATAGATATAAAATATATTAAGATATAACATATATTTTATATTATATATATCACATATTTTTTGCTGTATATTTTTATATTATATGGTGCTTGGAGTTAGATTTCTTTCTTGAGATCACAATAACCAAACACATCGGAGCATACTGTACAATATCAGAACATACCAAGAAAGTGTCTGCAAATACCAGGAGATCGGCCCCCCTTTTGAATCTTTGACACTTCGCATCACTTCGCATCACTTCGTCCATTTTTGCCGAGGATTTGGTTCTGCGAACTGTGGAGCTGCCCGCGAATGCCATGTGTCCCGATGTCAGGAGCAGGGTCCAGTACAGTCGGTTGACATTGGACATCATTGGACTGTTTGTTATCTATGATCATTGACAGAAAGATTCAAGTTCCGCTGATTTTCACACAATAGAACTTTTAGATGTGTCGAACGTCATCGATGCTTATCGACAAATCATTGAATTGGGGCATCCTGAAGGAGCGGAGGACGGCAATCAGCAAAAACAAAGCAGATGAGCTCTAGCAGTCAGTCAGTCAGTGAGTCAGTGCTGTTTGATGTCCTTGGATGTCCTGTGATGTCCTTGCCCCTGCCTCTCTACAGGAGTGCCTCAAGCGTGGCAAGCAGTTCAGGCGAGATTTCAGGAGCATGAAACCATGGAGATCCATGGAGCATCACGCATGATACCGGGTGATACCGTGATGCTCGCAGCTTGTCGCTGTACATGTTATAGTATGTTATAGTGTTATAGTGCCTTGTTATGCCTTGTTGGTGCGAAATCCTGGTCAGGTCCAGTGGATGCACCAGAGGCAATGGCCTTGGCACAACAACTGCGTTGCTCGCCGAAAGATTGGCGTTACTGGCATGTTCAATCTGAGAACAAGTGGATTTAAATAGCAAATATAGCAAACAAAGTTGGAGGATTCCACTATTCTCGGAGACTTGACGCAAGTCTGATTTGAACATTTAAAATCATTTAAATACATTTAATACATTTGCCACCTCCAGCCGTAGTGGATCGTAGTGGTTTTGTGAAGCTTGTGACAAGGTTCCACTATGTTGGCCGGCCTTGGAGATCGCTGTGTGCGATGCTCATTGCGTCGAGGCTGCAGTCCAGGAATTCGCAATTCCGAAGGAAAGATGCGAGAAAACGGCCCCTCTTGGGGTGCTGAGATTTTTCATGATGACATGATCATGTTTACATGATCTTTATATGATCTTTATATGATCTTTATATATTTTTGTTATATGTTTAATGCTTCAAAATGCTTCAAATATCTTCAAATCTGAGGCGACTGTTGTCGCGGCGGCAGCAGTGGAGCACCGATGAGAAGCCTGTGGGACCTGCAGTGCCTTGGACCAGCCTTGGACCGGCCATCGATATGGCTAAAGTGGACCAGGTGTGGCAGAATTTAAGTCGCAATACATGTAAATGCAAATCATTTTGACATCATTTTGAAATCTAGTAAAATCTAGTAGAATCTACTAAATAGGTTTCAATCCAGAGTCTATTCTGCAGAGCATGCATTCGTTCTTGCCCCACATCGCTCCGGGAACGACACTGAACCACTGAGGTGATGCTGGGCATGATTCTTGCGCCTGAACATCTCGAACGAGTCATTGATCGCGGTCCTAGCGCCCAGCAGGACGCCAAACTGAAACGCAAAGGAAAAGCAGAAACGGAATCAACGAAATCCCTCCCCTAGGTGAGCTTTTCTCAGCAGGATAGTATCTCGATGTATCTCGGGTAGTCTGCTACTGTACTGTAGAGGGTCAGTGCTTTGGGATTTCTCTCAGCTTTGGATGCTGCCAGGAGGAGGCTTCAAAGCATTTCCGGGAGCTTTGGGGCCCTGACAAAGCTGAACTGAGACGCTTCAAGGTGCCACAACTGCCGCAGTTTGTCACAGTCTGCAGGTTGAGATAGGCTGTTCTTTTTGTGAACAAACAGAGAGGTTTGCCGATATTGGAAGAGACTCTGGTTGTGAGGAAGCAAGATGTATGTGGCCAATCCCAAGCTGCTCTCAAACAACCCCATCGATTTGCGGATGTATTTTCTTTTGGATTGCATATAATATATATATACACATAGTATATATGTATATATATATAAATACATACACGTATAGTTTGGCAAGAAACAATTACTTTCACACATTTTCACACTGTTGATCGGTAACTACATGGTGCTACACACCCCTTGAATTGTGAATGTGCCAGGACGGAAGCATCCTCGAGTGCGTGGTTTGGAAGAAGCCAGAGAGGAGGACTGTGGAGTCACGCAAAGAGCCGGCAGTAGCACCTTGTCGATTGCTTTGATCGCCTGCTCTTTCAAGCATCGTGTGTTGAAGATGTCGAAGTGCCTGATTGCAATGATCAAATTGATCAAAATTGCATAGTTCCAAATAGCTGACAAGAAACTGAAATGGTTCGATTTCCAACTAAGCAGTCATGTCGCTATTAATCACAGCACATATATGAAAATGAAGCATATTCGGTCAACCACAAACAAGTGCAAAGATCCCTTGTGTGGAAATGAAAAGAAATGGCCTTAGGCCAAGACTTCCCCATCTATCCCAGGTGACACAAATTGTGCACCATTTGCTGTCTCGACACATTCGAGTTCAAACAGAGGCTGATGCAGCTCGTAGCCTTGTCGTTTTTCCATTTTCCCAAGGTGCATAGTTACATAAACAGTTGCATAAAGTTACACTCTTTCAGCACTCACTCACTATTCAGGGTTGTAGCGCGCAACTCCAAGCTATCAGCCCTCCTGAACATTTGCTTTGCAAGTAGTTGAAAGAAAGCGGTTAAGAGGCAATTGACAAGTTGTGTCGGTGTTGTTCCTCCAATGGATGTTTTCACCCTGGAACTCCGCGTTGCAGGTTATTTCTGGGCCAATTGGCTTCGTTGAAAATCTGGGGGAACAGGAGACCAGCTGCATTTTCCACCTGGTTCTCCAAGTCGAGTAGCGAATCGTCTTGGATCGAATTTGTCCAATGGTGTTTTTGAAGACGCTCTGCGAAGACAGTGACACACCGGACCCGGACCCATCCGGGCTGTTAGGAGCGACGGCTCTGGATCACCTTTGACACCTTTCGCACGCACCTTTGCCAGCTGAGTTCCTTACCATTGGCCATCAAGGCGCAGCTGATGGGAGCACCATATTATACCATATTGAATGATATTGAATGTATTGGCAACTCATGGGAACCTGGGAAATATCCAAATTCGAAGCTTCTTTTTTATAGTAGGATTAGAAGGCAGAAAAGCAAACACAGCTTGCAAAAGCGAATCTGTTGAGTTTGGATAGAGGTAGATGAGATATGATGAGATAGCTTTGTGATTTTCTCCTGGTGACCTTTAGTCAACTTTAGTCAATGTGAGTTGGATCTATCTTGCAATCTGATGACTTGAGAAGAAACAGCTCCAATAACAGCTCCAACATGTTCCAACTTCCAATTGAGGAAGTCACTGCGGTCAGGACATCCATCCTGCTGAATCTGCTTTCAGCTTCCTGGCAGCGTGATACACTGCATTTGGATTTCTCAGACCGTTCTTTATCATCGCCAAATTTGTTGTAATGTGTCATGTGATGCGCTGCAAGGAAATCATGGACAATGCACATGTCTGCCATGAAATGCGGGTACAGTATGTGCAAAGACTATAGCGTCATGATGCCAGCGCTACGGCGAAACGCGTCGCAGCATCGCACGGCCCAAGGCTACATGGCAACAGACACGACGTATGCGCCAAGCTCAGCCAGCCACGAGACCTGGCTGCACTTTGAGCCTTTGAGCCCTACATCCTTTGACCGAACCGCGTAGGATTCAAATACCGAACAAACGACACCTGTACAGTATATCATATCATCGCTATGCGCACAGGCACATGTTTTATTTTAAATAGTTATAGTTCCTAATTTGTGCTATCTATATTTTCTATTTCCATATATTTACATGCTATTGTTTGATATTCTTTGTATACATTTCAGGTGAGCAAGCAGAACACAACATTCGACCTGCCTTGAGGCTGGTGGACCACGTCCTCTTCATGAGACTGTCTTGGAGTTTGAGTCCTCCGGGCGCTGGCCAGATGAGACGGCCAGCCGACCATTGAATTCACCACTGGATTGGATCACAGCTGACAGCCGACATCCTAGGCTCAACATGGCTCAACATTCTCACAATATCTCACAATATTAACATCGTGAAGTTAGTGAAGTCATGCGTTGGAGAATGTTGGAGATATTGCCGGACTTTCACAGCTGGAGCATTCGGAACTTCTCAAAGTCCCGGGCACGAACAGCAATGATGATTATTATTTTTTGTAGATGTGCTTTTTCTGTTTGTGGTGTGACTTGGAGCGACAGGCTGCAGCGCGGAAAGTTGCAGCAGCGCTTCTGTTGCAGAATCCTGGCGCAGGGTGCAAGATGGGAATGAAAGACTTTGGCGACACAGGAACCAGTTAAAAAGTTCAATCTATAGATTCTGCGTCATATTATGTACCCCATTTCAATCTCTTAGAGACAGCTAATCCTTTTCCCCCCAAATACTTAACGCGCCCCCAAATAATAAACACCTCAGGTAGTTTTTATCATTAGGGGGATATTTATTAGGGAACCCTAATAGTAAATTAAAACCCTTAATAAAAAACTACTTTTTTCGATTTCAGAATCCAATTAAAATATTGCCAAACATTGGATTTCGAAGCGGGCCCTATTAATAAATTTAAACCCTTAATAAAAAACTAGTTGTTTCTGTGGTAGTGCGGGAAAAGCTAAGTACCCTACTACCTTCCCATTTCAAATCGAGAAGTGTAACAAGTTTCGCTTGTTGGGCATGTGCCCCCTGCGCAAGGATAACACGCAACAAACACGATGCATCGCTGCTATGGCTCAAGAAAAGCTGCGCTCTTGCGGCTTTGGGATTCGCAGGTTATGAGCCCAAGGCCTTTGCGCTTTGGGTTACTCCGTTGAGGGTGTTGTCATGGAGCGGCGACGCAGGCAGCACCTGAGAGAAGAGACAGCTGATGAGAGGTTGGACCGACTAATTGAGATGGAGAAGAGAGCCAAGGAGCAACAGACCCAGGCACCCGAGGTAAAGCGGCTGACGGTGACTGAAGGTGGCGGTCAAGCTTCTGGAGGTGGTCCAGGCCGTAGTGAGATGGCAGGGGCCGCTGGGGAGGAAGCTGATGGCAGAGCTTTTCCGACGTTTCAATTTGGCTCCGCTGTTCCATGACTTGGGAATGACGGAGGTGGGCGCTGGACCTGTGGCTGGTGTGACGCAGCTGCACGGGGATGTGCCAACGCATAGAATGGATGTGGGGGATGGCTCTCACTCTTCAGTGCTTGGTGGCCGAGACCAAGGA